TCCCCCTGGATGTATGTATTCACCAGATCTGTCCCATTTGCTCACCACTACAGCAACTCAGTGACTAGACAGGAGGCAACATTGTCCCTTCTCCCCCATGGGAGAGCTTCTGATTTTTGTCACAACTATGCCAAATGTTAAACGCTAATATCTGGTATTTGTCTTGTGCTTCCTACATTCAATATTCCTTCAAAAGTAGTTACTGGATTGCCACTCCCAGTAATGGAAATCACAAGGCAGGTGTTTAAACTACGGACACACTTGAAAAGACTAGTGCAACAATCCTGTAAATGAAAAGCCAACTCATTTTCCTATCCTGTGAGATATATTTTATAACCTGTGAGCAGAAGGCATCACATCTGAACTCTTGCATACTATGGGTTGATAATTGTTACCCAGTCACCTCAGCTCTGAAGACAGCAACTCATGTTTCACTGCTGTTCACCTTCTAGAAGGGGAGACAGTTTAAAATGAAGGCACCAAAGAGAAAATCTACCCCTCAGTCACTATCAGCAGTAGCAAGGCTGGAACAAGACAGGACAAGGCCACCCTGCCTTCAGTGCTGAACAGCAGGCAGGTGCTGCTGCAGTGACTCTGCACAGCTACAGGGACAGCACAGATATCCTCTTCCTCCTGCAGCATCCTAGAGCTACTGTTAATCAAACCATTCCTTATAATTTTCAGAACTTGCAGTTTATATTAATTTATAAAGCTTTCTCCCTTATTGGTTACTTCACATATAACTTCGAAAATGTGTTTGCAAGTGTAAAAGCTAGAAAAGTACATTTTGTGTGTTAATGCTAGACCAGCCTACTGAAGGTGAAAAAGCAGATTAACTGTGAAACCGGGGAAAAAATGGACAATTTAGGAGATTTCCTACTCTGGACAGACATTCATGGATTATTCATTTTAGTTCCCTGGTTTGACAAGACCACTGAGGTCTGAATGACTTTCCTCTGAAATGCAGCACGAGTTTCCTTTCAGAATTTCATTAATACTACTCTGCTCATACAGGGGAGAAGGATTAGCACCATGTTTGTCACAGTAGCTTTGAATTCTAGAATAATCTTACTAACTTGCAGAGACTGAGGGAGGGATAGCAATGGCCATTTTGTTAAAATAAACTGAAGGGTAAATATTCTAACTTACCTCAAAGGGATGGACTTTTCCAAGCCCATCTCCTGCTCCTGTGACCACTGGAGAAAACAAAAAGAAGGGTAAGGATTCAATTTGGAGCTCTGCTTTAGCTCGTTCTTTCTGAATCCTTAATCTTCATCATCTGCATTTCTCGAATATTGCCACCTATGTGTCTCTTCTGAAGCACAGAATCAATTTTTTCAAAAAATTTTTTTCCCTGTACCTTTGCATCCTTCAGTTACTGCATCCAGCAATTTTTGTCTTCAAAGCAAATCCCTCCCCAGGGTAACTTTGTTGGGGTTACAGGGTGATAACAGGAGGTAATTATTACCCTCATTTTCAGTAGTGTAAACGAGCAAGAAGTACCTCAGATGTGGCAGAATTTTCTTCCACATATACATTTTCACACGTTCTGCTTTGCAAGCTTGGCATTATTTGCTGGTGGCAGAGTAGTAGGAGATAAGGACTAACTGGTGTCTGAAGGTGATATAACAATTTCTCACACAAGAAATCTATCCCTAAGGAAAGATCACAGCAAATTCACCATAATCTATAAAATGCTCTTCCTTCAGAGCTGCCCTACTCGGTTTACTTTTGGATTTAGTGTTACTGGGAAAACAAACTATCTTTGGCATTTGTAAAGCACCCTAAACTTTAAATGCTATGCAAATAAATGCCAAAGAGGAAGTATAGAAAGAAAATCCTTCTCACTTTAGAAATTAGAAGAAATAAAGTAGCAAAGTATCAAAGCAAGTACAAGGTAAATCTTATAAGTTTCAGAGCAAATTAAAAAAGAGTCAATATCAAAAAAATGTGGATTAAGGACTTCTATATTGCAAGAGACACAGGGAAAGATAGATGTTTCTGAATGGTTAATTGCTGCCAACAGAAGAGCAATTACTCTCTCATTTCACAGAGAAATGAGATCCCAGTGAAGCAGTTGGTGAATCTTTACCTGCTTAGCAGACCTGGAAATGAAAAGAAAGAGTCTGTTGGGAAACAAGCTTCTATATGCTGACTTTAATTTTCATGATTCTCAGAATCTCATGTGCCACAGGATACACAGAGTTGTTCAAGACTTGTGAGTTTTACTGGGCCCAGAAGACTTTGTTTATAAAAACAGATCATAAAGGAAAGAAGTCTCCCAACCTTCAATGGAAACAAAGATTTTACACAGAAAGTTCCACATGCTGCTCCTCATGTCATGCACAGAAGGGAGGTCCTTGCCTCACCTCAATAAAAATGGGATTTATGCGCTGCTTCGGAAGCATCTGGTATTCAGGAAGGTCTTCTGCACAGGTGTGGATTTAATTTCTTATTAATCCATTGTGAGATGTGCTAATTAAAGGTATATTTAACCAAGTCTCTAAGGCAGGAGGAAGGAATGAAGCACGAGTGTACTGTTCAGGTCATTTCTTAACAAGAAGCCACTTTCAGCAACATCTGTAGCCAAGGGACTCAGAAACTGCAGTACCTGTTCATTCTTCCTTCACACTGATCATCTAACAAGCTTAAGAAAGACATCAGTGATCAATGGGAAGAAGAAGGTGTTTATTAAACTTTTCTGTTATTTTATGGAAATGCACATTATCTTTATAAAAAGCACTGCCAAGTTGCAGCCTTTGAAGATTTTAGGCTAGAGCACACTCAGCTCACTAATGATAGCATTAAGGAGAGGTCACCACTTTGGAAAAAAAACACACTGGAGCAAAGAAAAGTTACTTTGAAAAGCAGAGAACATATGCTAGACATAAACTGGTTGCTTCACACACCAGGAAACTAAGGATATGCTATTAAAATGAAAGCCTTTGCAGAAAAGCAAAAAACATCAGAAGTAGGAACAGGGAGAGAATTCCCATCTACACCTCAGGGTGCGAGCTGTTACCACTTTGACTATTTCTCTATTCTCCCCAAGCAATCAAAAATCTTCAGGTCCACAAACCCAAGGTTTTAGGAGAAAAGGAAAAGAAATCAAGCAAACCATAGTTAGCAGAAACTGTGTTTTGTTCTGAAGGGACAGAAGTGAGAAGACTAATCAAACCACATGATTTTGTTTTTTCCAAGGAATATCCAGGGTTTAGATTAGAATAACATTGATACAGTACAACCCCATTTGTAAACTACTGAAAAAATCCAAACTAAACAATGATTTCTTGTGCTTGCCTTAGAGCGAAAGTTTCACTCCTTTTCTGGAAAACCACACGAAAACAAAAATAAAAATATTTTTATTGTCATTGTTTAACATTCACAGAGATCAAAGATGGGTCTAAACCTAAACCCTGAAAAATAATACTCCAAACCTTGGGGATAACACAGATCAATACCACTTCTTCCAGTGAAGAGTTAAGCTGTAGCCCAGACATTTCCAGGGCAAGTTCATGCTGAAACCAGAACAAAAAATTTAACATGTCATGTTACTGACACCTTCAGACAGAAAACCACAATATGAAGATGCTTTACAAGATCACAAGTCAGGTAACACTATCTGAAACAAGAAGATAAAATTATCATTACCATCTTAACAACAACCCAGTTTCCTCACACTAAAGCTGTCTTAATTTTTCCAGTTTTGTTTTACCTCATAGGTAAGGCCAGTCAAATTTTAAAAGAAGGTAAACAACCACAAATTACCCAAAGAATCACTCCCTATTCAAGGAATACTTTAAATTTGAACAAGGTTCACTGTTTTCCATACGCAAAAATAATGCTGAATACCTCCTCTAAATTAAAATAATAATAATAATAATTTTAACAATCCCTTAAATTTGATGATGGACTCAAAACACAGACTTCCATAGCTGCCAGTTTTCTCTTCCACTCTTCCCTGTTACCCTGTCATTTTTGTTTTCCTGAGGTTGACAAGGAGTCTCAGATAGGACTATGGAACTTCAGGGGCCTAGTAGTAAATTAGATACTGAGAGGAAAAATAATAAATTCTTAAGAATGTGAAGACTTGTTTATTGAGCCCACTCTAAGGTTTTTGTCTGAGGTATTGCCTCTCTGACTTTCACAGGAATCACTGCAAGAACTTTACAAAGTGCATGGAGAGGAAGTTCTTTGGGTGACCATATTTTTTTGTCTCTTAATCTCACTCCACTAGAGCTAGGCCACTGCTAAGAAATCCCCATAAAATTTAGAGTATGAACAGATCAAGGTACAGGACAATATTCCTTGCTAGTCCAGTTACTGTTTTTCTTTGTATGCTCCCTTGTAAATATACCTCGACTCCTGTAATGGTACCAGTATAATTTTTGAAACCTTAATTTCATTAATATGAAATCTGTAGAAAAGGTGAGGACTATCAACAGCTGTATCTAACAAAAATGAGTTTTAAATTCCTATCTCATCAGTTGAAAGACACAATTTCTGAGGTTCTGAATGAAACAGCCCTTTCTGTAATTGCCTAAATTCTGACACAATATTGTGCCTGGTTGAGACCATATTCTCAGGGTTTTAACCAGCAAATTTTCATCTTTTGCATTCTCTCTGCAGATACAGAGGAAAATAGTGACTGAAGCTGAGTTGCTTTGTGAAAGTATGCAAGCACTTGCACGTCCTTCTAGATAGTACCAACTTGTTGTTATTCCTAAATGTATTTTTTAAATAATTCTGAGTAATACTATCATAAAGACTAGGAAAATCAGGTTTGTATTTTAGGTGAGAAGTCTAAATCTGAAGGACCTCAAAAATTTTACATGAACAATGAATTAAATAAAGTAATTTCCACTGTGGTACAGAATGAACCAATGAAACTACCTCAAGGATGTTATAGCAGTTGATTATAGAGAAAGCAAATATTTGTCCTGTGCATGTGCTTGAGAGCAGGTGTCCATCCACAGGGGGGAAAAAAATCAAAAAACTTATTAAAACCATAATTCATATATTTTTATTTATAAAAGGTACAGCAAAATATTAATTAATTCAATGCACACAGTAGGGGTTCCTTGGTGGGAACTACATCTTATTTAGCAGGTGCCATTGTTTGTTCATTGGTATTGCAATCAAATGGCACTCATAATCATTTCATAATCAATGAAAACCTTCCAATGCCTTGTCTCACTGCAGAGGGTTGAGGTTCAATAATTTGGATTGTGGAGGTAGAGATGATCTGGAAAAAGAGCAGTCCTACAAAAGAATGCACTCAAAAATATTGAAGGCTTTTTAAGTATAAAGGAAATCTTTAAAAACTCTTAAAATATTTGCAGCAAATCCTTCCCTCCCCAGACCTTCAACAGACAGAAAATGCAAGTCACATCTCTTAGCCAGCTGGAAGAGCTCAGATTTCTCTTTTCACTTCAACTGTGCCCTTAAATTCCACTTGCAATATCTTCAGTCACTGCTTCACTTGCCATTCGCATCCATGCAGGCAGTGGGAAGCCCATTCATTGCCTGAAGCTTCTGGTGTGATCCACCCACATCTCTTCAACCTAATCCAGGCTGGTCATCCATGTGCTACACACAGAGCAATGCTTTTCAGATTTAGCTCTGCTTTAATTCAGAGGGGGATCAAACAAGTCATTAGACTACACTGGTTCCACATCAAAGTCTTCCAAAATCTTCTTTTGATTTGATTATTTTCAAAAATCTTGGCTCGTGCTTGCAGGGAATTGAGACTTTCAACAAGATTAATTACTCTGCTGTCCTCCAGTGCTGCAGTGCTTCTATCATGTTTTCAGAGGTTAACACTTTATCCTCAGAGGCACAGGTAAGCATTGTCAACCATATTTTCAAAGAAGGAAACACAGATACAGAGCAGTGTCACTGTTGTCCCAGATGATAACTCAGACCATCACAAGTGTGGACTGTGCCTACTCCAGCAATCCCCAGGCTTATAATGATTTCTTGCTCAGAATTCAAAGCATAAACTAGTACCAGACAAGCTTTCACTGTATATATATAAAGACACAACAAGACACTGAGCCTTTCTTCTCATTTTAAACACGAGTTAGTCTCCCATATACCAATCAGTCTCCCCTCCCTACTATGTTTGTACATATCAGCATCACTTCTCTGCAGCAAGATAGAGACAAAATATCAGAGGAGGTGATGGTGATTTTAAAAGAAAAAATCACGTAAACAAAAACAGATTTACTTTTTTTTGGTACTTGCTCTCTCTCTCTCACACACACACACACACACAAACACCTTTAAATACTAAAAAATCCTCTGTCATTTTCCTGCTCTCCCTGATCCTGCTGCAAAGTTATGAGGATTCACTTCTAACAGTGCCAATTGCAGCAGAGCACCAGGGTGTTATTGAGCATGAAGAAAAGACTGAAAGGGAATGCCTACACAATGTATACTGAACACACTTGGACATATCCCCAATTTTTTAGTCAACACTAACACAGGAAACAATCTGGGGGAACATATCCTCTTTGCCCCATATGTTCTGTATCACCCACACACAGGTAAATGTGAAAACAGTCTGCACCACCAGGATTTTTGATCTCTTCACTGACAGTAAGGATTGCACATGGCATAAGGCAATGGTGAATCAGGCTTCATGGTCTTTAAAGGGAGTTTTGCCTCAAGAGACTATCGGCAGACACTGATCTTGGTGAGTACAAACAGCACCCAAACACAGGTAAACACAGAAATTTACAGCTTGAGATTTGCTCATAGCATTCCTTCCTATAAATTGGCTTGTGGTGTAAAAAAAAAACCCTGAAATTAAACTAGTCTATATGTAAAAAACATGGTGTGCAAGAACATTTCTGAGCCAATGAATCACATCTCTGACAATCGAGGTAGATTTTCTAGTTCCAAATGTGTCCCATCACATATTTAAGTTCTCAGCAATGCTTGTATCTTCAGTCCCTTTCAAGGCAGGCACTTTGGCTAACTCTTTGAGGCAGGAAGTGCATTCTCTTCATCCCCAGGTCGTGCAGGCTGGCTGCTTCCTCTCAATGTTAAAAATGAGTACCTCAGTCCTCCTGCCATGCTAAAGAAAAGGGAATGAACAGCAGTGTCAGAGATGTCTGATGTTACAGATGCCATTTCATAGGTATGAACCCTTCCTTCCAGAGGATTAAAGAACACCAGCTACCATAAATCAGGAGTGCCTCAGAGCTAGGTAAGCCATCTGAGCAGGCAAAGATCAATCACCAGTTGCTCACACAGATTCATACACACAGATGTAACAGCTCATCCAAGCACAAAAGCAACAGCTCACGAGTCAGAACTTATATTCAATGTGCACAACTTAGTCAGTCAGTGCTCTCACTTCCTACACCACTGGGCTTTCGCTTGCAAGCCTCGCAGCTCAGAGCTGCTGCTCATTAAAAAAAAAATCAATTCAATCCCACACAGTAAAACTTCACAGTTTTACTAATACTTCCACAGTTAAGACCCTACCACAGTTCGATTCAATGCCTGAAAACAGACATGATAAAATGTGTCTAACTAACTGTAATGTACTTTTACATCCTGAGGCAGTGCTTCATCAGGTCAAAAAAATCAAACAACCCAAACAACAACACTGAGAGATTTTCAGTCTAACAAATAAAGGCTTTTCAAGTTTCACTCACCAAATATTTAGGCCTATGAAGTTTAACACAGAGAATATGTAATCTCCACCAATCAACATTCCGATGTAAGCGATGGATATATTCTGAAAGGAAAAAAAAGTCATGCATTTATTTAATTCAGGTTTCATCCCCATGAATATAAGTGATATCAACTAGGGAAACAGATATACTCTGTTACTGACCACTCTAAAATCAGTGTTTAAATTCCTTTCATGTGATGTCAGCCTTATGGATAATGTAGCAATGAAACAGAATAATAAAATCAGCATGTTTTCTAAATGCTCTGAGAGTGATTTTCTGGGTTAAAAAAAGAAAAAAAGAAAATCAGCTACTAGATATTAGGCAAAATGGAGCTATGGCCACCTTTTGAAATCTACTTCTTTATAATCTTTGGAAGGTTCCCTTTAAATCCCATTTCTTAAAAGTGAGTTTTGGGTTCTCAAGCATAAAAAGGACACTTCAAAGTTACAATAAAATTCTTTTATTATTACTTTAACAAGGTTATCTGCTTACTTTGCCAACGAAATGTGCACTGAAAGCACTGGGCATCAGTTCCAGACAGGCACAGTTTAAAGTTAAAGGTTCAAACTCTCACCCACCCCCTTCAAGTTTTGGAAAAAATGTCTCCTAAAAATAGAAAGAAAGCTGTAGAACTGTGTGAACCAACACTTTGTTGCCTTCAGATGTTTTAGCACCTGGCCTGGACAACAACATCATTCCTACCAGCTTCTGCTGGTATCTGCTGCATCATAACCTGCTTCTCAACTATAAAGCTGCACGAAGCGTCTCAAGGACTATCACAGCTCAGAAAATAGAAATTATGTTGCTCTGACTTCATATATGCAGACATATAAAATGTAAAGAACACTTTCAGGGCCACAGAATGAAAACCACTACATTAATCTTGCCAGCTTTCAAAAAAGGGAAAAAAACCCTGGAAAAAGTGCAGTACCATCCTCCTTTTGCAGGTTTTCCTATGCTGGAGGTATTGTTTTCCTTAGCCACCCACATAAGGGATGACCTTGAGGACTGTTATTGCTGTGCCTTAACTAGTTTGGATTCTGATAGTGTTTGGCCCACAACTGCACCAGTTTTATCTCCTGCTAAAGCTGTTCCAGGTGCCTGGGCAGTCAGAGATGTTCCCAGTTCAGACATGTTGGCCTCAACAACACCAAGGAAGCTGCACTGGTTTTAAATTAAACCATGTCAAAGAAAACAGACTGTAAAGACACCGAGTTTTTAAGAAACCAATTTTTTAAGACATGCATGTTTTGCTGCTGATCAAATTGACCAGAATTTGCACAAACCAAAAGGAAACAGTCCATTCAGCTGGAACACAAATTCTCACACAGAGGCTGAGGCAGTTAAACAAAAAGGAATATGCTCTTACTTCAGCTTAGTCTGTGTCAGTTCGCCTGCATTTGCAGCAGGCCACCTTGACTAACACACAATAACCTAACAAAAGAACAGAAGCAGGTAGTACCTGATGAAATGTGGTTAAATATATGTTTTTAAATTAAAGTGGTTCGAGTTATTCTCGTAGAAAAACAAAATATAAACCAACACTAACATTGCTTTCTAGGGCATACATGAGCTTCAGTGGAAGAGAACAAAGTCACTCTGTGGTGTGACCCTGTTGGGCACAAGCAGTGTCTCACTATTAGCTCTCATTTTGACTTTCCATCTCAGAGGAGTATAATTAGAATCACTGCTGAGCCAATGCTCCTCCCTGTCTATTTGAGCATTCTTGTTTCCCTCTTCTGCTCCATAACTCACCTTGATGGCACCAACTACTGTCGTTGTGAGTGCAGAATTGTAATGACTGCATAGGACAGTAGAATACATCAAGAGAAACCTAAATAACAGAGAAAATTTTATAAATTCTTCCCAGGGAGCTCAGAAGTTTAGCAACACTTTGAGATGTTCAACATTTTCTGGATCAGTATTTTTCTGGGATCTTCAATCCCACCTGTTTCAAACCCTAAAAAAAACCCCCAAACCTGTGGATTTGTATTTTAAGTTAATGAGGTATGTATCCAGAATATTCAAAATACATGCTTGAGCTCTAGCAGAGCCATCCCTCTTCTCTGTGCTTTTTAAATGTCAGTACTTGAAATTAGTTTGACCCCTTGGTTGGTGATGTGTGGAAGAGAAAACAAGATGCAACTCATTCTTCTGTTCTTCCTTTGACTCTGCAGTTCCAGCAGGAACAAAGCATTGGGTCACTGCTTTTGAGTCTCCCACACGTTCCCCAGCTACTTTACAGAACAAACACACTGAAACAGTTCCTATACTGAAGGACTTACATGTCATTAACTGCAAAACATTTAAATGATCAGAAGAGAGATAGAAGAGAGAGTACAGAAAGTACAAAGCTAAATATCAGGTTGTTACCTCACTGTATTGTGAGGTCAACAACACAGATAGTACTGAAACGGTTATTTCAAACATCAGAAATACTTAAAAGACACAACAGAAGCCTGGGGGAAAAAAAAAAACCATTTTCTTTGAACTCTAACATAACTTATTAGTGAGTCTTATATTTGAGATCTGCAATCTGAAACACTGTCATAAAAACATTTTGCTTGATTCCCCTGTGTCCTTACCCCAACAAGCAGGAAAGAGCAAATTGAAAGAGAAATAAAAAATTTGTCCAGTGCTGGAAATGTATTGCCTATTAAAAAAAAAAAGAGAGAGAATTATGTGCTATATAATCAGCTGTAAACACACATAAAACATGCTTAATATGAAAATGTGAAAAAACACAAAATACATTTAATTCATACTAAAATTATGAATCATTTATACTACTACTGGAAACAGTTCAATGCATTTAACTGTCCTCATAGTGGACCAGCTGGTAAAAGAGAAGTGAATAATGAGACACTCAAAAACTACAGTTCGCATGAGGTGGTAGCTAACGTTCCAGAACTAGCTAGAGGAGCAGAAGCAATGTGCTTATCACACAGACATGGTACTGATGTTTTGACTGGCAAAAGACATATGCTATGCATTGTCTGTGATGGAGCAACACAATAAGTTCTGCTAGGATAAAAGCTGGCCTGAAAATCTGATGTGTTATCTACATGTGTTATCTACAATAATTTGTCCACTTCTCGTCAGTATTTTTCCGTTTTCTCCCTTTTTTCTGTGATTAAATTTCTGTGTGTCACATTGACATCGGTTACCTGCATCATTTAACAGGACTTTCTTTTGAGTGACCAAGCCAATGCAATACACAACAGGCAAACTGGATCTCTCTGATATATATTTATTCTTTTCAGGTAACTGAGCATTAAGTTGCTTGCCCCAAATCAGGCAGTGGCCACAGCACATTGTTTATCTTTCCCATGGAGCAAACTTAGCAACAAGTTAAACTTCCCTGCCCAGGTCCCCCAAAATGCCTCCAGCCCTGTGTGCTGGAACAGCAGTTCAAACCTTGCAGCTACACAAACTTGGGCCCTTTCTCCAAGAAAGGCAGTAGCTGCATTCTCCTAAACTGGCTCAAGATCATGATGGACTGATGGTACAAAGAGATTTCACATTCACGGCAGACCTAAATCCATCACTTTCAGGGAATGATAATTTTTCCACTTATTACAGACTTCTAGGAACACAATGACAAAATCACGTAAGTCCAGGGCACAACAACATACAACAAAGAACATAGCAACAATTTATGACACCCTCCAAAGAATTTTCAGTAGCAAATCTCAAACATTTCTAAAAAAGACTGTGAGTGACTAGACTCGTTTTACTGCTAAGAAAAAGGCAACTCAGTGAGTCTATGAGGGAGCCAGAAAAACACAAACCTTCTGGTCTGATCCTTTATATGTCAGGACATGCTGACTGTGATACTGTATCAGGATTAACTATGGAGGGTCTTGCTGTCATTCTATGAGAATGCAAAATGTAGGTTATCAAACTAGACTAAGACTAAACAGAAATCTGTCCTGCACACCAAAATGAGAGAAGGACTGGAAATGTCCGTGTATTTCCCATTTCATTTTAGAGCATGTGGCAAACCACACAATGCAGCTGGATTATCAACCAAATTGCTCTAGCTGAAAAAACATATATTAGTTCTTAAACAAAGCCTCATATGAGGACTACCACACAAATTCACCTTCTTATTAAGTAAATAATCATAAGTTCCTACCTGTGAAGGGTAAGTCCAAGTCACACTTTTCATATATTAGTCAATAACATAGAGGTAGAATTATCTCTTTAGAGACAAACAAAAGCCCACCCACTTCCCAAGTGAAAAAAACCTAAACTAAACAAAATTATCAGTCTGAGATATGCAATACCGCTACTTACCTGCTGAAAGTCTCCAGTAGAAAAGCTAATAATAACTGTTGGAACCACCATGAAACAAGCATTATAGAACAGGACACCGTATTTTCCCAGCTCCTGCAAAAAATGGAAGATGGTGTTTGGAACTGCAAGCCACTTGGGAGCAAAATACTACATATGACTCTGGCAATCTTCCTGACATTATTGTCAATGAGCAGACAGGACATAATACATTTCAGTTTAAAACACAGCCTTGTGATCCTTGGATTCATTGTTTTGTACTAAGCTTAATTTCCACTTCAGTCCCTTTGTCTGTATACCCAGCACAATATGACTGCTCTGTTATACCTTGGACAGTTTCTGTACAATGCCAGCTAGTCAAGAACTTCCCAAAGAACTGGTCCAGAACTGCTTTGTTTGGGACTCCACATAAGGCTCTACCTGGCCAAGGGATTACTCATTCCACCTCTTGCAAATTAACCATGAAAACACGTAACAGGAAAATGAATGAAGTCTGACATGTGAATGATTAATTTATGGTTTGGATTAAATTTTTTTTTTTTTTTTTTTTTTTTTGCAAAAGCAAGGTTTTAAAGTAACCTCAAACTCTGCCTAGGAGACCTGGGACAAACTAAAAAATATACTGTTTGTTTACCTAAGCCTGGCCAATGATTCAAATAACAAATTTTCCCAGGCTGTTCTGTATTAAAGACGCATATATCAACGGAAATGTGAAAGTAAATGAAACTGTTTATTAGTTTGTAACTGTTAAGTACATAAAATTACATAACAAGTAACCCACTGTTATTGCATTGTCATAATGTTAAATTCAATCTAATCACTCCACAGTTACCTTTGGATCGATTTTCTGCTTTGTGTAAACTCCATTTGCTGCTGTGAAGATATCATTCAGCAACACAAAGATGTAGCCTTCCAGATTGAAAGACAGATCAGACCTGGGGAAGAAACATTATACTGTAAATAAGCAAACAGCATGCAATGCATTGCATTGCCTTGCTTACCTAGACGGACACTGTAAATGAGGATATGCAAATCCTGACAACTGCAGCAAGTCACAGGTTTTGCTTCAAGCATTCTTTGTAAGTCAAGGTACTCTACATTTCTCCAGCCCAGGACCTTCACTAATGAGCCACTGGAGAGTTCCCAGCAGTCAGTGTGAAAGTGGCAGGAAATGTTCAATTTTCATTCAGTGAAAAATTCCACCCATCTCAACCCTGACAACCACTCCAATTATTACTGAGTATACTTACCTATTACTTTTAATACAAAAAGTAGCTAGGGAATAAAGTCTGACGGTTTGTTACAGCCAGGCCAGACATATTGTCATCCTTTCTGTTTTGACTAGTTACCTCATGGATATAGGGTAATTCACTTAATAGGACATGGCTCTATCTGAGTCACCTCACATGGAAATTATTTACCCTTGTACACAGCAAAGCCAAGAAACAAACAAAAAACCCCATTACATTTCCAATTAGGTAAAGGAATATTCAAACAGAAAGAAAGCACAGGACAACAGCATATGAGTGCTTTGTGAACTTAATCTCACAATTGAACTTATTCACAGTGATTAAAAACATAGACAATACTTAACTCAATATCTGACAACCAAAAAAATCAATCTTTCTATCCAGAACAGGAATATATCTTTTTCTAAGAATATTAAAATACACTGATATCATGAAATAAAAGCAACATTCCTCACACAGCTTTAGCTTGCTTCATTTATGATCCTGCAAACATGGAAAAACTTAGAGGTGAAAATAGAAGCACCCAAATACTTCCAGCAGGAACCAGAATTTCCCCTTTGTATTCCTGCACCTCCCAGTGATGTCAGCAGAGAGATTTTAAAAATCAATTTATTCCGGAGTAACTGATCTAAGCTTAGGTTTACTTGGAACTAAACCAGGAAAAAAACCCTTCTGTTTTCCCTCCCCTCATAAAATGGCTTCATATAACAATCTAAAACCTTACCCAGCTGCTATGAAGGCCCCAAGAATGATGGCAAACACGCTGACTATAATACTCAGTGGGTACCACTTCCTGTAGGCAAAAATAAGACAGTTCACATTTTCATTATTTGAAGAGGAGATTAAATGGCTGTCTGCCTGAAAAGCTCCAAAGCAATTAGTAGTCCCAGAACATTTAACAGGAGGGCAAAGTCTTGATAACCTTGCAGAAGCAACGTGATTGCCCATGTGCCACACTGTCAGACCTTGGCCCCTGAGAACAGAGACTGAAAAAGCACTGTGAGCATTCTGCTACTGGGTAATTACAGCAGTAAATATTAAAGATTTAAAGTAACAGCACTGGAATAAATGTGTATTGGTATTCATAATGGACATATTTCAGTGTCTTGCAGCAACCCAGTAAGGGAAAATCACTGTGTATCTCTCACTTAGTTTTTCATATCATTTTTCCTGGGGAGGATACCCTACAACACATTATCTGGACTGTTTTTCAAACAGATACTTATTTTGAAGTCAAACTGAAACTTTGTGCATGAAAGGGAAAGCACGGAGCTGATGATATTCTTCACTACCACAGTGCTGCCACAAAGCAGTGAAAAGCATAATGTAAAGCTGTTCTTTCTTTTATATATCTACATTACTTTGTTTGGAAATGCCTTAAGTACTCATTTTTCGCACCACATGTGATATGCCTTAGAGACATCTCCCTAGTCCTTAGTCTGTCCTTAGCCTGAGAGAGGAGATACATCAAAAGAAAATGTACAGTGTTCTTGGAAAAATGCTCTTGGAGAAATCCTGTGTGTTAAAGGAGCCCAGCTGTGGACCACAGTCCCAACAATAAAGCTGTATGCAGGCTCTGGACATAACAATCTTTGATCATAATGACTCTCAACAGTAACAAGCCATACCTTGACTGTTTTTCAAAGCCTGACATAAACCTGCACAGACCCTCTGGAGTCCTTTCATCTTCAGCCCTGAGGAAATACACTGTCCCAGGCTCCTAAGCTTCCCTTAGCAGGGATGTTAGGATGCTGCTTGCACTCACAGACACATGGCTGTAGTCCAGCTGAACACATATGACAATCTCACTGACATGTTTTTCTCACGTGTTTGTGGGAGTCTTCAGGCCCACAGGAGAAGATAGCAAGTTGTGCTTTCCCTGTGAGAAATTACAACTGCAAAGAATACCAGAGCATCTCCAAATATGAATCACACTGATCAGCTGCTGCTTCAGTAAAAAGGAGATGACAGTCTACTTGGGGGCTTTCTGGAAAGCTTGACCATCACTCTCTTGTTGCCTGGGTTCAGCTTCAGCAAGTTGTTTTTCCCCTTGTGACTTCATCTTAATCTACTACCAGCCATGTGGATAGAACTATGAAGTTGTAGACAAAATAAGATGTATTTATACTATCACCACTGTTTTGAGACAGAAGGACTTGTCTGTTTGAAGCCGTTTGCAGATTAGGGGCCTTCCAGATGAGACACAAACATAACCACTAAAAGTCTCTAAGTTGTGTCTGCTTACATGAATCCCATGCAACAGCCAAGAGAGATGTGTAAATGAAAGCAAGATTATTTTTTTTTCTGCATTCACTAAAATCTATGTATCTGTGTCTTCAAAAAAACCTCACTTTCTTTGCTTTTCTCTATTTGTCAGTAAAAATCACTCATTCAATATTCTGATGAGCTGTCACAAGTAATCCATTTGATATGATCTAAAATAAAGGTATCTTAAATGAAAAAGAAACAAAACAAAACAAAAAGGATCACCCAAGTATGATGATTTCCAGCAGTAAAGTAAGTGGAATGGTAAACTTCCTGAGCACTGCAAACATCGGCAAACTGTCAAAAAAACAAAATAAAAATCCAAGCATAATATCAGATTAACAACATTCTTATGTTCTAATTCTTATTTTGCTAAACAGAGGATGGAACCATCAGTCCAGCAGTAAAAAACCAAATCAAATATCCAATCACTTAGCATCAGTCTGACATTAGACACAAATTAGATAACCAAATCACTGAAAAATAACAAGCTTTGATAATTTGTAAACCAGTGCAACTGGTTACCTTCTAAAGGTCCCTCTGCATTAGTGAAATGGAATTTAATAGATATTTTCTACCTAGCATAACCCCATGAAATTTATTTTTTTTTTCAAAATTCATGGTCAGGGTTAAGCGAAAATTATTTCTATAATAAAGTTAGAGGATGAACAATAAACTTGTCTCTGAAAACATGTAAAAGAAATAAAATACAAAGAAACCATGCTTATTAAACAAGATGTACCTTCAAAAAAGTAAAACAAATCCATGAGAAAAAAAATCAGAGCAAGCACAAGAAACATGAAAGGTGGGACCAGCTGCAACTACCAAACTGTCACTTTTGAGCAACATATGGTTGATCTTCATGAAGTAATGCAGTTGGAAATCTTTTTGATTGAGAAAACACTTGCATCTGACTTTGGAAATCTGACAGCATGGCCATATGGACCAATTAATCCTCTGCTTAAGATAGTTACTACCAACTGCATTAATAAATGATACAAATCCTAACACAGAGTTTAATCAGTTTGAAAGAGATATTTTTGAGTTATGCATTGGATCGTCTACACCTTCCAGACAACCCAAACTAGCTGGAGAATTCCACAGCATAAACAAATGTCACATATCGTAACAGAATGTGCTGTAACAAAAAGTTAATGGTAGAAATGCTGCAGCCATTTTTACTTTTCTGTTATAAAAATTAATTACGAATAGTAAATCTAAGAGAGGTATATTAGCCACGGGAGAGGGAGATAGTGCACTTATGTTTAGAATACCACACTAATCATTTAAAATTACAGTCAAGGGAAAGTGAAAGAAAAACCCATGAATCAAACTTTTACAGGATTGAAACTACTTTCATATTCACAATGGTTGAAGTGCTACCAGGGACAGGACTGCCTAAGTCTTTATGTCTGCCTGAACAGTCACTTCAGTGGAACAATTTCTGAATGCATACAACAAAAAGTTGCAGAATCAGGCATCCAGTATTCCTAGATAGGAAAAATTAATTCTCTAATTATAGAGAATTAATAAATAGAAATGTAAACAATAAAAAGAAATAAAAAGAAATGTAAACAACTTAAAAGTCATACATGGGGGACCTCATTGCTCTCTACAACTACCCGAAAGGAGGTTGTAGTGAGATGGGGGCTGGTCTCTTCTACTGTGCCTGCAGTGAGAGGACAAGTGGAAACGTCCTTAAGGTGAGACGGGAGATTTAGATTAGATTAGCTACTAGAACAAATTTTTTTACTGTTAGGGTGGTCAGGTATTGAAATGGGTTGCCCAGGGAGGTGGGTGGTGGAGTCACCACCCCTGGAGGTGTTCAAGAGGCTCTGGGTGATGTGGTTTAGTGGTTCAGGGGTTATAGTGGTAGTGCTGGGTTGACAGTTTTGACTTCATGATCTTAAAGGTCTCTTCCATCCTTGACAATTCTATGATTTTATGATTCTATTTTCTTTCCCAGCATCTCTCTCAAAGTTAGGAAACGCAATAAACCTGCAAAATTCCCTGTTTTGGTTTAGCTTGCAACCAAACCCCTAGGAGCCTGCAGTAACACATAAAGAACCACCACAATGGCAGGGCTGTATCCTCCAGTCCTGATGCAGCCACCACGTTCCTGCATTCCTCTTCCACAGGAAATCTGGTCATTCAATCTATTACAGCCTGCTGGGTACATAATTTGCACCTTTTTAGCACTAGTGTGGAAGCAACTCTCACTAATCCATGCTGACAGGCACACAGGAGTCTGGGAGCCCTTCAGCAATACCCCCCAACAACCCACTTTTGGGGCTCTACGACCACCCCACTACACAGTAGTTTTCCCATCTCTTGGTGATTCCTAAACACCTGCAATGACATCATGCTACACCTCTTTAACTTATGCTTCTTCCTTCAGAAACATCTTAGGAGTTTTCCAGCTCTCTGGTTAGGATACCCATGAAAAGCTGGGCACTTGAGTGTGAGGGCAAAGTGGAAGCACTTTCATGGTCACATAGAAAAATTGTGATTTTTATGGCAGTACAGGTCTGGCTAAACTCCTTTTAAAAGAAGCAGACACCTTGTAAACAGATCAAATGATTGGGTAAGAATTTCCTAATAGCACAAGGGGTTTAGAGAGACAGACAGACACCACATGCATTTAAGGCCCTACCCAATGCTCTTCTTTAGTGTTTATTTTTTACCTCACAAGAGAAAAGTCTTTTACCTCACAAGACAAAAAACAGTCTACTTATAATTTCCATTTACTGTACCTGAGTTTGCTGGTACTTGATAATCCACTTATGTGGTTTCCAACATAAATCAGAGGCAGAGGAAACAACTGTGATAAAATTAAAAGCACAACTCAGATTATTATGTGTTGAAGCACTGCTGAGAAACTTTACTTAATAGAATTTGGTACCCATATCAGATGTACTTTTAGCAAGAAAGAGGGGTTTTTTTGAGGGAAAAAAATGTGACTATGCTGCAAACTCATCTGCAGCTCACATTTATGTGACCATTCACAACCACAGCTTCACTGATTCATTAAAAGAGTTGCAATTTAGAGTAAATGTTGGTCAGTTTTATTTTAATTACTATATCCTCAGATTAATACCCATTCTAATATTTAAGTTTAGGTATAAATACTAATAACAGTAGCTAAATAAGCAAGTGAACAGCTGGCATAAAACAATGAATAAACTGTAAGTATGCTGTGCTTCTCTACAGACTCCACATATATTAGTAAGCCTGGAAGTTACAATGTTTTAGATCTACCCAACAAATCACGTTATGCAAGACATTAGAAAGGAAAGATAAGTATTTAGGGATAAATTAAACTTTATCCATCATAGCTTCTAGCATAAAGAGACTGACTTGCATACAGAGAAAACATAATAGAACTTCAGAGCCTTAAGAAAAGAAGCCAGGGATCTCCACACAATACTCAGCTGCAATTCAAAGCTGTGAATTTTCCCGTTACAGAAAAATTGTAGTATCAGAGAAGGGGTGAGGCTGGAATTTGCAGAAGATAAAAACCAACTAAAGTGATCAATGAGGACAAAGGTAGCGTGTGCAGTCAGTCCCATTCACTATCAGTCAGGTGGAGCTGGAATGGCAGGAAGACAAAACAGACCTCTATCCTAATAACTGCTGCTGTTCCTACACAAGCTTCAGGAGATAAAACATGGTCTGCTGGAAAAGCATACAGAGAAGTGGGCTGCATTTTATCTATGTCAAAAATTCTGCATTTCTTTTACAGCAAGTGAGAAGAAAAGTGAAGTAAAAGTTAACTATAGTTAATTGAAGTTAACTTTTGAGTGAAAGTAACAGTAAAAGTTAGGACTACAAAGAAAGCAGGAGCATAACTAACAATAAATATTCAGCTTGTCAACGTAAGTTTGCAAAAATTTTGTAATGCACTATCTCTTCTGCAGATTTTTTTTGGAACATTTTGGTTTATTTCATCTATAGACCAAACAAAGAGAGGACATTACATTATCTTTCCTCTAAAACTCATGCGTTATAAAGACAAAATTACAACATCCAGCACAAGACCAGAGATAAGTAAATCATATACTTAAAAAGGGTCAAGAACTCCAAAGCTTCATCGTTAAAATAAGCATTTCACTACTTTAAAACTCTAGCTGAAAGCACTGAAGACATAAACCATTTCAGGAGTGAAAAGTAATGGTTATCTTAGTGTCAAAGCAGAAGTTGTCAAAAGGATGAAGAGTTGGTCTAAGGGTCCTTTAAAAAGTAAAGGAACGAGCAATGAGCAATCCAGCTGATTCACTGTGACTGGTCAAATCCAGCACTACAAGCAATATGCAAGTCCTGGGTGCTCCAGTGCTGGATGCTCCCAGTCCACTCAGGGAAATCTTCCAAAGGACAGAAATTATTAGGATAAAGAAAATGGGAACTGTGTTGTGCTAATGCCTTTGTCCTGACATTAAAGTGAAGGCAACAGCAGAGAGGGAGCACAGTGGGACTGAGGGAGGTGGAGGGAAGGAACTTCTCAAGGTCTCAGTAAGTTGCTTATATGTGGAACTCAAAGCTCTCCTCTGGAAAACCTTCTTCTTTCTTACTCTGGAATAAAGAAGGATTGTCCATTTTATGATTGACACCACGGATTTTCCTCCAAGACTTTTTACATGCAGAAATGCCAATGATTTCAACCTGCATTAAGAATGAACAAGTCTGCAAGACATCCATAGAAAACCTCACATGGACAAGACAAGATTCTGCAATGAAGATGCTGGCCAGAAAAGACACAATATCTGAGCCCTGCAGCAGAGCTGGAAACTCTCTCTGTACCTCTGAGCAAACACCAACCAACACCACGGAACAAGACCCAAATTCATGGGCTAATGCATCAGAGTAAAACTCCAGCAACATTGCACATTGGTGCAAAAATCTACAAGGGTCATTGCTGCAGTCATTTCACATCCTAGTTCCCAAACTGAGGTAATAGGAGATCCTTTCCTATTTGCTCTGGCCTGCTTCTTTAGACCATATACACTTAAGGTCTGTACAATGCACCTAGCTGCTACCTACAGTGTTTTCAGTGGGTATTATCTTAGCCCCTGCTATGGAATATAAATCTTACATTTGGAGTCAACTGTTTTTCAGGCTTTTGGTCTATCACGTGTTCTTTTCCTATTGTTTCATCACATGCTCCACTGAGATTTCCAAGCAGCCCTTCCCCCTTCATGCTGTGTGCAAAAGTCTTTCACAAACTCATATCTCCCACTGATCCCACAGAGAGCTGTCAAACCACCACAATACATCAGGAAAACACTTCAGGAATATGAAAGAGTTCATCCAGCTGTATGAAGGTACAGCACGCTTTCCCATCTACTCCATAACCAAATGGCACCAGGTTTCTCTGCAAACAGAGCTCATCCCTACAGCCCAAACACACAAGAATATTGAAAAGAATTTAAAACTATCAAATCCAATATTAAACAAAACACAGATACAAATAATCCCACTTGACAAACAAATGTAATTTTTTTTGTCTGCATAGGAAAGAATGCCACTATAAGAAATAACTCCTTGCTATTAATATCAAGACATACCTAATTCTTACCTTCACAGGTATACTTTTGTCAAAATCAGGGAAGTGAACGATATTATTTAATTTTGACACATACAAGATAAGTATAGTGGCTGCCATCTAAACAAAAAGAAAAAACAAAAAGAAGTCATGTAAGAGCAAAATTGTAATATATGAATAAAAGAACTGCTTCATAGAAAATCTTTACATGCAATTAACACATGCTATGTATTCTGTATTTCTCTCAAAGAACAACACAGCATGCAATTAACAAACTGAAATAACTTTATTCTTACCAATTTTGCCAGCTATTTATTTAAAAGTAAAATATACACATGCACTTTCCTATCTGAAGAAAATTGGTGGCACTCTGTGAAACAGTGCATGTTGAGAGGGAGCTGAAAAATAAAACAGGACACAATCCCAGATTAACCATAAGATTTTTACTCAAAGAGTTGTTTAGTCTGCAAAACCACTCCTAAAGCTTTTTTTTTTTGCTAATGAAAGACAGTGGTTGTGCATTGATCAGTCTGTAGATAATATCAGGGAGAAATAATACAGATATAGACAGAATGAAGATGAATATCTTAGCAATCACATATCACACCACAAGTGTTAATGCTGTCCTCAGGGAGTCAAAAAAAAGGTAAAATTTTCCTTATAAAAAAATATAGTAGTTGACTATCTAGAGAACGCAGGGGAGTCATGTTCTGCAGACTAAAGTGTTATACCATACTTTATGCACTTCACAAAGTGTACAGGGAAATCTTGGAAGGATCAGTCAACAAAAAAAAATGGAAATGCCATTAAGTCTTAGGTTCTGCAATGAAACAAAGCCATAGCATCACATGGATTATTGCTGCATTTTGTAGTCTTCCACTGAAACATGATCTGAGGTTCCTTGAGCAGTGTGGATGTGTAAAATTCTCCCTCCCACTCACAAAAACTTTACAAGACATTTTACTGTCTCCAGTACTGAACAGCAGAGACATCAGGCTTGTAGTACCCTGTTTTAACCTCTTCCTCACTACCCCCTGGCATGCAACCCTGGCAGAAAGCAAATCCTCTTTAAAATGTATTTGCCTAAATAAAAAAAAGCTTGCTTCAAGGCTCTGTCTTTCCCAGTGACCCCAGTCACATATTCTTCTTTATAGACCATGCCTGCAAACATTTGAACTTTTTTTTTTATTTTGTTTTATTGCGATGCCTACTGACAACAAAAACAATAAAAAACATTTCTGCTGCAGTACTGTGACTTGCAAATAAAGCAACAGAGAATCAAAATTTTGTGCTGGTGCTATTGCAAAACTGTTAGGAAATGAGGGACATATTTATGAGGAAATACATGGTTTTGCTACAAAGAGGGGCAATATCTAATATAATCCACAAATGCTCAAGGACTCTTACAGGATGTATGCACTTTCTAGAACAAACCTTGGCAGTTTTGAAGGCCTGATCTCTTAATTGCTGAACTTTGTAAGGAGAAATAAATGGCATTCCCAGTCTTTTACGTGACTCTTTTCAGGGAATAATTTTGACTTGAACTTACAACTTCCCAGTTCTCCATAAAGCAAATTACAGTTCCTTATAGTCTATCTAATCCAGAAGACAAGCAGTTCAGCAGAACTCGGATTTTGGCCCTCTGAAATCTAACTCTATTTTCATTAGTTTAACTTATAAAATAATGAATATGTAAAATACGCTTTACTCATGAACATACCTGTCCGATTCCAAGGAACACTGGAGATGGGAAGCTGAAAAGTATTGACAGATATTTAATACTGAGGAATGGAAAAACAATAATCAGGGGAAAAAAAAAAAGTTTAAATTTAATACCAAAACCAACAACTGACAGAATGACGGGCCTGTGTTTCAGAAGTGCTCAGGGCTACGCTTATTGTAGTCCTGATATTTTATTTACGCAGCAAAACACAATCTAGATAATATTGGAAATGCACAGGCGGTCAATTCTAAACTGCTAATAGTTTGGGGGACATTTGTAAGTGAAGGTAACACACTCAGTGAACTCTTAACAATGCATCATTTTTTGAGTGGCCTCACATACAAATTATGCATTCTGAGAAGGTATAGTAACTTAAATCTCTTGCACTTGCCTAACTTGGAAGCTTATCTCTACAGTCCAAATGTACCTGTAATATGTTTCTGTGAAAATCAGATTCCTGGGTAAATGTTGTAGAAACATCCCTTGTCTGCTAAAGGGCTATATGCCTACCAAATCCTACCATTCCTTTCAGCTTCAGTTAGCTTTAGCTGAAAGAATGGATAGAACATAAAATGGTTTGGATTGGAAGGGGCCTTAAAGATCATCTTGCTGCAGCTCCCTGCCATGAGCAGGGACACCTTCCACTATTCCAGGTTGCCCAGAGCCTGATCCAGCCTGGTCTTGAACAGCAGGGATGGAGAGTCACAGCCTCTCTGGACAACCTGTTCTAGTACCTCACCATTCTCACAGTAAAGAATTTCTTCCTAACATTAATATAAACCTGCCTTTTTCAGCTTAAGGCCTTTCCCCTTTGTCCTATCACTACATGCCTTTGTAAAAAGTCCTTCTCCAGCTCTCTTGTAGCACCCTTAAGGTACTGGAAGGTCACAATAATGTCTCAGAATCTTCTCCAGTCTGATCAACTCCAACTCTCTCAGCCTGTCTTCACAGCAGAGGTGCTCCAGCCCTGTGATAAGTTTAGTGGTCCTCCTCTGGACTCATTCCAGCTCGTTCTTGTGCTGGGAGTCCAAGACCTGGACACAGTCATCCAGTGGGGTCTCATCAGAGCAGAGCGGGGAGAATCCCCTCCCTGGAGCTGCTGCTCATGCTTCTTTTGACGCAGCCCAGGATACAAGTGGCCTTCTGGGATGCAAGCACACATTGCCTGCTCATATTAAGCTTTTTGTCAACAAACAACCCCAAGTCTTTCTCCCCAGGGCTAGTCTGAATCCATTCTCCTCCCATTCTGTATGTGTGCTTGGGATTGCCTCAACCCAGGGGCAGGACCTTGCACTTGGCCTGGCTGAACTTCATGAACATCACACAGGCCCACCTCTCAAGCCTGCCAAGGTCCCTCTGGGTGTCATCCCTTTCCTCGAGTGTGTCAACTACACAAATTTGCTGGGGGTGCATTTGATCCCAGCCTCCACATCACCAACAAAGATGTTAAACAGTGCCAGTCCCAGCACCTGTCTCCAAGGACAACACTCATCACTCTTCACTTGGACACTGAGCCATTGACCGCAGCTCTTTGACTGTGCCCATCCAGCCAATTCCTCATCCACCCAGTGGTCCATCCATCAAATCCATGTCTCTCCAGCTTAGAGGCAAAGAATGTCACATGGTCAAATACCCCGCACAAGTCCAGGTGCCCTTCCCTCATCCACTACTGCTGTAATCCTGTTGTAGAAGGCCCCCAAACTTGTCAAGGCATGATATGCCCTTTGTGCAGCCAAATCACCTCCTTATTTACCATGTCCCTTAGCATAGTTTCCAGGAGGACCTGCTCTGTGATCTTGCCAGGCACTGAGGGGAGACTGACCAGCCTGTAGTTCCCTGGATACTAAATTATTAGTTCTAGAGAACTAATTACTAGTAATACTAATAATATTAATAATACTAAGTATATTAATAATAGTAATTAGTATCCACATCACAGGTCCCTGGATATCCCTGGATTCAGATACTCAAAAGTTAGGAAGGCAGAAACTCAAGCAGAACACCTGAAAAGCCTGAGTGTCTCCATTCCCCCCCCCTTAATGTACATCAAGTTAAAACTACTCAAAGTATGGCAGTAACTGGCCATTCTCCATCTGCATACTGAGAGATGTTATACACAGTTCCTGTGTGTTCCAACAGCAGCGAACGTTAGAAAATAACAGCCAGTTTGGCTTTTAAACTTTTCTTTTTCCTTTTGTTTTTTTCTTGTTCTGATTTTGGTACATAATGAGCCAAACCACAAAACACTAGAGCAAAGACAAAGTAAAATATATTAATGGTGAGAAAAATCACAACCACAGGACAGTCACAGAATATTCTGAGTTAGAAGGGACCCACGAGAATCATCGAAATCCAAGTATTAATCCAGATTGGCAAATATGAATTGGAGAGGAATGCTCAAGTTCCTCTGTTTCCCGAGCTGCAAGAGAATGGAAAGTGCAAGAAGTCTGCAGTTAACACAGTGGTACACGATGCCAATTATCACAACGATTCCACATCACGGGATGCGGAACGATGGGAATTAGCCCCGTCAACTCAAAGAGTCCTTCAGTGGTTTTGTGACTAAGCAATTTTACGAAGTTCACTTTTCATTTCTGGCTACCCCCGAGAAGGAGGAAGGCAACGAGTCTGTTCGGAGGCAGAGCCGCGGGACGCGCCGTTCCCGGCAGGGCCCGCCGTGCCCGCCCACACCTCTGGCACGGGTCGGTCCGCAGCCGGCGGAGCCCGGCCCGGCTCCCGGGGGCAGCGCTGCCCTCGGGCCGGACGCGCGGGCCCGGCCTAGCGCCGGCGCTTTCACCTGCCAGGCTGAGACGCACCTGTAGGCGCTGCAGCACGCGCCTTGTTGACCAGCACGATGAGGAAGGAGCACGGCTCCCGTAGAACAGCGCCGAGAGCACCCTGGGCAGCGCCGGGGCCGCCGCCGCCTCCCCCGCGGCCTGCCCGGCGCTCATGGCGGCGAGGAGGGCCGGAGCAGGGCCCGCCGCTGCCCCGCTCCGCCTCCTGATCCCGCGCTGCTGCATGCTGCCTTCTCTCGCCCCGGCCCGCCCCGAGCGCGGCGGGCGGGCGGGGGGGGGCGACACCGCGCCCGGGCGCGCCGGGGGAGCGGCGGCTCCAGCCCGCCGAGGGCGCTGCCTGCCGCCCGGCGCCGCCTCTGAGGGCCCGGCTGTGGGGGCACAGGCTGTGGTTTCTCGGCTTGTGGGGGCCCGGCTGTGGGGCCCGGCGTGTGGTTCTCGGCTGTGGGGGGCTCGGCTGTGGGGGCCCGCTGTGGGTTCTCGGCTGTGGGGGCTCGGCGGGGGGGGTCGGCTGTGGTTTCTCGCTGTGGGGGGTCGAGGCTGTGGGTTCTCGGCTGTGGGGGTGGCCGGCTGTGGGTCTCGGCTGTGGGGGCCCGGCTGTGGGGCTCGGCTGTGGGGGCCCGGCTGTTGGGGTTCTCGGCTGTGGTTCTCGGCTGTGGGTTCTCGGCTGTGGCGGGGCCTGGCGTGGGTTCTCAGTCTGTGGGGTCGGCTGTGGGTTCTCGGCTGTGGGGGGGTCGCGGTGCTGGGGGCCCGGCTGTGGGGGGCTTGGCCGGCGAGCAGGGGTGAAAGCCCGGGGCGCCGCGACGCCACCTCAGCGGCTCCCGAGGCTCATGGCCACCCCCGGCAGTGCCGCCGAGCCCCCGCTGGAGTCAAACCATCCCGGTGGGAACGAGTCCACTCGGGCACTCACCGCGGGCAGGAGAGGTGCGAGCCCCCCGGCACGGCGGCAGGGACAGGCTCCAGCAGCCCCCGGGACTCCCACAGCTCTGTCGAACTGTGAAAAAACGCTCTACAGAATTTGCCTCGGGTGGTTTAACTTGGGTCAAATTTGGACCTTCACCCTCTGCAACAAGTCGGGCTGTCAGCACTACAGAAACAAGGAGGAGGCTGAATACTTAAAGGATTACCAAACAGCACACATTAAACCTGAAAATTAAAGTTTTTATTCAAAGCATCTATTAGAATGACAGCACATCAACTCTTCTGCCTTTAACTCATGCCAAACTACAACTTAATCTTTCAAAGCACTGAACACTTTCATGACTCCTTGTATGTAATCACTTAATAAAACAAAAAGCAGTCTCACACACACTGGGTTTTTCTTTTACTTGGTATTTTACCCAAAACTTGTCATGATCCAGAACTGCTTCAGCTGTCTGAATTTTGTCTACAGCCAACTACAATTCAGTGTACTTGTCATTTTTGAGGAAATATCCCGCAAGTTGCCCAAAGCATTACAGCTGACTAGGAAAAAAAAAAAAAATCCTAATGAAGTTACAACACCAGTCTGCAACTGGCTGGTAATTACAGAGTCTCCTGCCCTTTGAAACACTACTCAGGAGCAATTCTCAGTTATGACTCAGAACTACAACGGATTTAAGTCCAGGGCTCATTTTGGGATCAGATTATTTGCATGAAGCCTGATTAACAGTCAACAGCATGTAATTTTTTTGAGAAACTCAAAACCTACACACATGAATTACCAGTTTTACATAGGCTAAGAAGCCTAGTATGACTAGTGTTTTCTATTTTTTTCAGAAGCTGAAGCAAAAATTAAACCGTATCACTGGTGCAAAATCATTTACATTCAATAAAAGCGATTTTTATTTTAATTATTCAATTACTCTTTAGCTAAGTGCATCAATACAAGATTTAAATGAACTGGGTTAATGAGATTTTCAAAGACAACAGGTTATCAGAGAACACATTTCTCTAGTTGCAGTTCCTGGTGTAAAACCACTCTACTTTTCTGGAACAGCTGTATGCATCTGGTCAGTCTTTACCAAGTGATTGATAAAATTATTTCTTCCTCTTGTTTAAGTGAGAGGGAAAAAAGCTTCCTTTCTCATTTGAAATTCCTGACCTCTAACAAAAGGAAGGAGTTAAAGCAAGCAGGTCAGTAAATGCACATTATTAATATCCCCTTAAGCAGTAGCTTCATAACAACAACCAACAACAAAACCACACAACAAGAAGTCCAATCTGAAAACAAAGTTTTGTTAGAATATTAGGAATCTCTGGCTGCCTTCAAAGAAAATTATGGAAAAAGATCACCATGAGACAATGCTACTAAAAAGTATACAGCATTCTCAAAGTGACAAGATACCCTGTTAAACATTTTATATCAACATCTGAGTACTAGGCAGCATTCTGTAACTTCATTTATTTGGGAAATATACGAAATCCCACTGTTAACACACTTGTAACTATCTTTGGAAGCCTATTTTCTAGTTGTATAGTGAATATTTTCCTGCAGTGTTTAACTGATAGCTGTGCTATGGTTAGTGAACACAAAATTGGCATGTTATCCTGAAATAAAGCAGTAAGGTGGCTTTAGGCACAGAAAGTACGGAGGCTCATATCTGCTGATCATCATATGAAAGCAATACTTTAAAACTTAGTGTTTGCTAATAGAAGATCTGGAATAGTTAACTAGAAATCTATACCACCCTGTAAATACCCCCTTTATCAACAAAATCAAGTGCCAAACCACTACAGGGTCAAAAAACCTCTGAAAAAATATTACCAATTGTTTAACTTTGTCTAGACTTTGCAAGACTAATCATTTTCAGACAAAACAATGTGCAAAAGTTCCCAACGTCACATGTTAGGAACAACAAGTGCTACCAAGAGATTCTGCTGAAATCAAATCAGAAAATGTAAAGCAGCAAAGTCAAGCCTCATACCTTGAGCAGTCACAGAGAAGATACTGAACAACCTTAGGATTTCCTGCATGAAGCAGTTCCTTTCCCACTGCAAGCTGAGATGATTAACCTTTGCCTTTTGCCTTGGTGATACTAGGTAAAGACATACTGACATTAGAAAAACACAGTTTTGTTGCTGTTTAACAGTATCCCCAGACCTATCGCTTTTTATAAATTTGCTTAAATAGTCAGATAAATGCTTTTCTTTTTGTCAGCCTTCTTTGGCCACATGTACCATTCTGCTAATTGCAAACACTTTGTTCAGAAAGTGCTTCCTGTGAAAACTGCTCCAAATAAATGAGTTAACCTTGCAAAATCTAGCTTCCCAAGACACATAAATTTGTCAACCCTATATTTACAAAACACTTATAAACTTTACATATGTCTTCTATCTTATCAAAAGTGCAATTCTCTCACCCCGCGTTACGGGGGCAACAACATTCTTCATAAATTCTACAGAATAGCAGCCTATGATAAGCAAATAAGGTGCTTAGCTTATGCTTGGGATCTAACTGGTTAAGTGACACCAGCAGGTAACGTTTTGTGTAGGCAGAGACTGCTCCCATCTACTGTCTCAGGGGTGCCACAGCTAAGTTTGCCAGCTCGATGAGAGCCAGCGCTCCGTGCATGCGCTCGCGCTGCTCCTGCAGCCGGCGCAGGCAGGCAGCTGAGTGAGAGCTGCTCTTCTCTTCATCGTCCTCCTCATCAGACTGGAGATACTCCATCGGGTCCTGCTGCTCCTGGTCCGTTTTCTGCATCGCTTTGGTCTTCAAAGCAAGAGCGCGCTGCTCTCTGGTCTCCCAGTATCTGTAACACCAAATGTGGGGAACGCTCGTCAAATGAAGGACATGGAGGTCCTGGAGCAGGTCCAGAGGAGAGCAACAAGGCTGGGGAAGGGACTGGAGCACAAGTGCTGTGAGGAGAGGCTGAGGGAGCTGGGGGGGCTCAGCCTGGAGAAGAGGAGGCTCAGGGGAGACCTCCTCACTCTCTGCAACTCCCTGCCAGGAGGGGGGAGCCAGGGGGGGTTGGTCTCTTTTCCCAGGCAACCATCAGCAAGACAAGAGGGCTGGGTCTGCAGCTGTGCCAGGGGAGGGTTAGACATTAGAAAGAATTTCTTTGCAGAGAGGGTGCTCAGCCATTGGAATGGGCTGCCCAGGGAAGTGGTGGATTCTCCATCCCTGGAGGTTTTTAAGACAAGACTGGATGTGGCATCAGTGCCATAGTCTGGGAACCACAGTGGGGTTGGATCAAGGGTTGGACTTGATGATCTTGGAGGTCCCTTCCAACCCAGCTGATTCTGTGATTCTATGAGTACACCTGACAACAATCCAAAGCTGCCAAAATCCTCCCAAGTACTGACTTGCATCTGCCTAAGCACTGCATTTCACTTTATCTTTCAGCCCTTATAGGACAGTATTTATGCTGTCAGAAACCTTCTTTATTCAGTATTTTAAGTGTAAAGTGCCCAAGTGAACATCTGTGACAGGTTTCTCCTCTACACAGCATTCCCAGCAGGCGTTTCTCCCTAGGCAAACACAAGATGTTGCCCCTCATACAAGGGCAAATTCAGCAAGACTGCAGCACTAACAAGGTATTAGCAGGGGTTGATCAAGCAAAGAAGGACATTTAAGCAGAGAAAAAAACCAAAACAAAATTGGAAGAAAAAAAGTCTCATGAGGAGCTTTGTCTTAAAGGAGTTCAGACTCCTTTAAGGAGGACTGATATGTACTGGAGGAGCGTACAGTTTTGGTTTGTTGGGGTTTTACTGTTCTGAAGAATAAAATGCTTTTTCAAACCACCCTTATAAGTATTTCAAGGAAGGTGACACCATGAGGGAACTTACTTTGCTAGCCACTCAGCCACAGCTTTATTGTCAGCCGTTTGCTTCTTGGTCAGCCTGTCTGTGAGCTCCTCCCTCTTCAGCCGGGCATAGGGATGTTTTGGGCAGTGACGGTTTGCATGTGTGAACCTGCTCAAACAGCCTTAAAAACACCAAGCAAAAATGAAGAACACGTTATGGAAAGCAGCCAACCAGTGACTAAGCATAACATCTGTGGAATGAAGATGCCACTGAACCCAACCTTCCTCATTCACAAAACCCTAGGTTTGTTTGAAAACAAAGTTGCAAGGTTCATAACGTGTCTCGTCATTTTATAAGTTAGTATCTATTGGCAGAGAACATATGCAACTTAGATACATATTTGCAGAATCACCCCAGAAGTTCAGCCAAAATTA